TGATAATAACCGCGTTTCTATTTCTCGACTTTGTTGATTGTCGCCATGTGTCCTAAGTAGAGGTATTCATTCATGAAGTTAACAAACTGAGATTTCATTTCAGTGTTCGACTTCAGCCTTTTTTCTAGCGAATAGAATCTACGTATTACTGGTTTTGTACGATTCTCTAAGATCACTTACATTTTCTTTGAAAGGAATTTCCCAGTATCATCCCTTTGTACATGTTCATGAAAATGTGCCACGCAAGACTTTTCTTCTGGTGATTGGTATATTATTGCAAGCCCCTCTTCAATTTCTCAGAATTTGGAGATTTCTTAATTAAAATTGTCTACGTTGAGGTGACAAAGAGATTGTTGTAAGATGCAACTTTCGGTGAAAGCTCGTCCTTCAAAAAACCATTCAAGTTGGAAATTTTGAAGTACTGCTCTGAAAGTAGAATATTTCCATTCCTAAAAGAACGTCTATTTCCGCTGGAATATGAAAAGAAGGATCGCCAAGCGGTAAATTTAGTAATTGAAGACGACTTAAGTTTATTAGTTGGAAGCCTTTGAGTTATTTCTGGTATGACTAAGAACGTGAGGTTTTTGCTATAATCGGTGTGAATTGATTTTATCGTACTGCTAACTAGTGATGTGATGCTGATAGGTACTTGATTGAGGCCAGTAACTGGGATGTGAATTCTTTTGTGTGCGAGTTATAACTTATTCGCCAATTTTTCATTTATGAAGTGTGACTGGGACCCTGGATCAATAAGTGCTCTGCAAACGTGATATGTTCCTTGATTGCCCTGAATAAAAAGTTTCGCTGTTGAAAGTACTCTTGAAGAGACGTATTATTAACAAGCATAGCTACATTTGTCGAAGGTTGAATTATGATATCTGGAGATGTATTTTGCACATCGAAGTGCAGTAATGTGTGGTATTTTCTTGGACATTTTCGGGAATGTGTGGAGCGGCATTCTCGTCCTTGATGATTTGATTTCAGACAATTAACACAAACCCCCCTTTTGTTTGATAAAATTTCATTTCTCTTGTAACATTTTTTGTAGAAATGTAGGACACTCTCAGAGATAGTGACCTTCCTTACACAATGAACAGTTAATTTGTATTTGCAGAATGAAAATTCTGCTGATAGTGATTAGAACGTCGATTTTTGTTGCTAATATTGCGAAAAGAGTTAACTATTTTTTTGTGTGATGTTGTATGCGTAGCTTCGAGAGTTTGTCTGTGTCTATCCAAGAACTCCATCATTTCATTCATTGTCGGCATTTTTTGTCCCAACTAGAGTTACTTCCTAGCGGTTACGTGTGTCCTTGTCGAATTTTGGTAGAATAATGCCTACAAGTAGTGAATCATAGGAATCGATGGGTTCTTTTAAAGTTGTTAACACCTTTGCAAAGTGAGCAATTTTCCAAGCTGTGAACTGTCTGCCCGTGTAATTGTTGTTACTTTTAAGATTTCATTGACATGTTTTAGGATAATCACACGTTCGTTATTTTAACGCTCCTTTAAAAACGACCATACGACTTGGTAATTATCTTCCGATAACTCCAACGAATGAATGATATCCACAGCCCCTGCCTTAAAACATGAACGTAAATAGTGTGGTTTCTGAATAAGAAATAAACGAATCACAAAAATTTGTCGTAAGATCCGTCAAATGTAGAAAGTTAAATCTTCGGTAACCTGCAGCTTACGTTAACATCTTAGACGGTGTTGAGGAATTTTCGGCTGATTGTCCTGCTGTGGAATTTGAGGACGAGTTCTGATAACGTTCTATAAGTTCGTTTGCTGCACTTACACATTGGTACCAGTTGTTTTCGAAATCTGCCCGTTCTTGTTGTTCTTTCGATGATGACTCGTCAATAGTTTCGATTTCCGTATATTCAATTCGTCCCCAGTCTCCATTATGCGACTTAGCTGTGCCTTAAGTACGCCAATCTGTTTAGATTTTTTATACTCTGCCACCGATTTTTTAAACCTTATAAGTTGCGCTTTACAAAAACCTCGTCGATGATTTAGGGTTTTAATTTGTGATTCAGACATGACGATGAATTGTAGATTACTTAATTCGTGAGGAAACGAAAAGAAAAAAAGGAAAAAAGGCAATTTAAAGACTTACTACTGAGAAGTTCTCTGATGGCTGCTTTGACGATCGATGTACAGGTGAAGTACTCTCCTCCAACTTGAATAACTCCAAAACGATACTGTACAGACAAAAACGATGTTTAACAAACTAGACATTAATTAAAATCGATGTTGAATTCAAAAAGACATTATAATTTTCTATTGCCACGCTATCAATTTGCCGCACTAGCACGATCAAAGCCTACGTTTGTCGTACTGTACCGGATTAATGATTTCCGCCGGTCGACAGCAATTATTACTCAATATTCATTAGAAATGAAAACTGTAACATCCAACAACATATGGAAACTTGATCTAATTCCTTCTAATCGTCGTTATGCCAACCTAAGACACTTTCTTTGAGTAAAGAAACCTTTAACCGCCAATGAATGGACTCTTCTACTGACCGCTCCTACAACATTTGCGTATAAATGTCTGCGCCAAGACATTTGGTTCCAGGAAATCACTTTCTTCGGAATACTACAACTTGGCCTAAATTATAAGGAATATTTTGCTAATAACATCCACTTATAATCATCAGCTAATCAATTAAATTAAGCTCAACTAAATTCCACCTTCATCCCCACCAACGAAGACTGTTCTATAGAAAGTGAGCAAGTAGCTAAACAGATCAAATTACCAACTGTGAAAATCACTTTTTTTTAACCATCAGGAGGAATTGACGCTGATTAAACATCACCTGAAACGGTCACAAGAACGAACAACTTCGCCCTCTGGTTTCCTTTGATTTTTGATGGTCACTACGATAGTGAATTGTTGCTTCATGTAATGTTTTACTGTCCTCTGTGTTTCAAACTATTCACCCTTAGATGTAGTTCAACTTGTATTAAGAAAACGACAAATTCGTTTGGAATTCCTCAACGTTATATGCAGCACCTGTCCTGAATATACCTAAAGAGACTACAATCGACCAAGAAATAGAGACGACACCACTACATAACCTATCACCTCTACAGAAGAAAAACTATTAGAAAATCTCTGTTTCGTTTTGAAAATTTAAATAAGTGGCATTTATTAGTGTAGTGCTACCTTAGAGTGAAATTTTTATAGTAATATTAAAACTAAAATTTTATACCAACACTTTTATTTTTTGGTACATTATTCTTTTTCAATGTACAAAAAATTTAAGTCGAGGGAAATGTTAAATTTCGAAGACGTATCATTATCACATTCGCTAACGTAACATTAGGTAAACTAAATTAATCTAGGTATATCCTGTTACTTGTTTTGTATTTAGGTCATTTTAAAAAAATAAATTAAATTCATCTCTTTTGCAATTATCCCCATATTGTTTTCAACAATTAAGTGCAGTAACAATTCAAAGTTGCAACAGTTTTGTTATTGCAGAAATCTTTGCATTTATAGACACTGTTTAAGTTTAAAGAAGAAGAGAGGGGTGGTTTGAAAGTTGTCACCCTGCAAATATTTCATGCACGATTGGGTCGAAAGGGTGAGAGACAGGAGGTTATTTAAAAGGTGTCCAAAACTGTTAACACCTCTCCCCTTCACTTTCAACCTAATCTTCCATGAAATATTTGAGGAATATCGATAAACTTGTTTTTTCGCAAATATTTCAGACAAGATTAGGTCGGGGGTGAGAGAGGGAAGAAGAGGGGGGCTAGTTTAGACCATTAATTTTTCAAACTTGAAAAAGTATGTGAAGCACAACACGTATATTCTTGATCAGCATGACGAATAGTATAGAATACTAAAATTTTAACAACATCGGAATCGCTAATCTCCACCATTACCTAATTACCATTTAGTATTCCATTTAGTTCAAGAATGTTTTTTGTGATAAGGAACAAACTATTTGTTACTTTAAAAGATTGAAAACATAGTTCAACGTGTCAACGATTTATGGTTAGGTTTTTTATAAGCGGTAGGTACCGATAACTTTAAAGGTATTAATTTTATTACTGTAGTAAATTACCTGTGAAATGTAATCCCCATCTTCTTTTTCTCGCCACGACTCCGTCACCGTTAAATTACCATTGTTACAAGGTACAATACCAACTAATATCAATGTTTTTCACTTACAAATCGCCATTACACCGCTCACAAATACAGAAAACAAAGCTACTGACACATCAAATATCTGACAGCAAACAATGGCAGACAGTCGATTCTCTTTGACGCACGCGCGGGTTTGAGGTTATTTAATGATGTCTAGATGTAATTGAAAACTATTAACTATGAGTAATAATTTTTTAATATAGGCAAGTATGCCATTCTGTTACCCTGATATCCTAGTCGCTTATGACCCTAAGCATTGAAACATGCCCATTTAAATATTAAAACCGAAGAATGCTTTTATTTGATTGCTTAGGACCATAAGACTACGGTGGTAAGTAGAAAAAAGCAATATCAACGTAGAGGCCGTTATCAGGTTATGTCCTTCGTATTGTATAGAGGAATGTGGACCTAAAAAAATTTAATTCAACTTAATTCCCAATTACATCTAGTTATTTGACTTGATTTTAGACGCTTCTCGATTTTCGACCTCATAACTCAGCGAATAATCAGCGTACCCTCCCTTTCTGGGTTTAACTATAAGTAACATTAATATTAACGTCAATGTGCTTGTTGCATGGTACGTAAATAAATCTCATTATTGCATTCATACTGTACATTTCAAAAACATTGACTGGTTTGTTACCCTCGCTATACCTACAGTCAGGAACGGAACTCCAGAAACATAAACTGTAAACAATGAGACGTTCAATGTCTTTAAGAAGTTAATGAACGGACGGAGTTTTAAACATTTATGGCCCATGAAATTCTAAATCACCTCTACATACAGTTGGAAATTCTTAAACGATAAAGAAATTGAATTCAGAAATACACTTATTCTTTATAACTTTATTTATTTTCTCCGTGGAAAAGCCCTTAACTATTTTATTTTTACAACGTTAAATTTCCTACGAAATATCTTTCTAATGTAGGTTATTTTTAAAATAATCATTTAACAGTAATTAATTATATTATCTATGTACAATTTTCGTGGGTGGTTGTTAATGGGAATCCTCTTAAAACGTAGTTCACAGTTTTAAGAAGTGGATAATCCCCACACCCACATCTATTTCTAAAATCGTCTAAGTCTAGTGACCAGACCATGGCACCTCCAAGACCCATGTCTTTTAAATATTCAGATATTCGTTTTATGTCTGAAATATCATCATATGACATCCACTGATATTCTTTTGTTGCATTTGATCCAATTCGTCCTGCAGGATCATGAATTACCTTCCAATCTTTTTCGTTGTTTATCATGTCACATATCTGGAAAAGTAGTAATTAAAATATGTATTTATGTAAAATTGTTGTATATTTACCTCGTAGAATGCTAAAAATCCTTCAGCTTTTGTGAATTGACCTGCTGTTCCTGGACTAACACTTGTTACATTGAGAACATTATTTCTGGAATTTGCTAAAGTGAAAGAGTATCCATAAAACGGAATATCCATGATTAGTTTATTTGGGGATGCTCCTTTTTGTATCCAGTAATTAAGTGAAAAGTTCTATAAATACATTGCATTTCTATTATTGTCTACTGTTTCCATAAACAAAACAAAAGATAGCTACTTACCGAATTGTAGTTATTATCCTGATCTCTTGAATAACGATAGAGCCGACCCAAAGGACCAGATTGGCTGTCCCAAGATCCAAAAATATCGTAATCCCTAACAGTCATCCAGTCTAGATACATATCAAGCTTTGGTACGTCATATGCAGCATCAATAACCGTTTTGTTTGGGGACACTGCAGCTGAGAGTAATAATCCTCTTGGTTTAAACTCTAAACTTAATTCTTCAATCAGTTCACCAAAGCCAATTTTGTCTGTATCAGGGCCTTTCTCACAGTCCATCTTAGAGAAAAATCAATTTATTAAATTATCCTACTTTTTTGGTGTAATATTACCTGCCAACATTTTGGATACATCCAGTGAAGATCCAAACCATTAAAGTTCCATTTTTCAATAAACTGAATGACATTTTCGACGAACCGTGTTCTATATTGTGCATTGCTCACTAGCCGAGAGTATTTATCTCCAAGAGAATCATTCCAACTACCCAGTGCAATTGATACTTTAACTCCCTTTGTCCTTAATGCTGCTACCTTTCTAAATAAATCTAGACAAGATAGAGGCAACTATTATAAAATATTATTTCAAATCATTTTGTCTTTATTAATCACCATTATCGATATCAGTCCAGTTATCATAAGGTTTAATTGTTAGAGATTCAGAATCCAAAACTGCGAATCCATAAATAATATGGGTGCATAAAGAAGCATCAATATCTTCTGGAGTGTATTTACCTGGATGTTGTCTAAATAGTCAGAACGTATTAATTTATTTTATTACAACAGTATTACTGAAAAGATTATACCTGTACCAAGCCCAGTTCGCGAAATAACATACAACTTTGTATCCATCGTTTGATACGTCTATCTGTCCTTCAACAAAATTTTCAGATCCTTTGCGTCGATATAACTTTGCTCCGTTTACTGAATTTGTTGACGAACAAGGTGTGTTTTCAGGCCAGTCACAGTTCTTTACGTTCCAATAAAGACCCGAAGGGCACGTTTGTAATTCATACATTCCTTGATTACACAAGTAATATTGATTGCAATTAGTAGAGTGAGACATAAATATTTGACTTCCATCGCAAACGAGTTCCTCATCACTTCCACCGTTATCTGAATCAGTAGGCGACGGAGTGGATTCATCGCCAGTTGTAACGACATTTGATTCTAAATTGCATTTTGGTGGCGGTATTGGATAATTTCGTAAAACTCTATTAATAGTTCTTAGAAGTGGGTATTTCTCACAACCGCAATAGTTACTAAAATCGTCTAAATCAAGAGCCCAAATCATTCCACCACCAAGTCCCATCCTTTTAATATATTCTGCCTTATGACGAATCATGTTTGTGTCATCAAATGATACCCACTGATTTCCTGAATAAGCGTATGGTCCCATTCTACCTTCAGGATCTCTTACCACATTCCAGCCTCTTTTGAGTATATTGTTACAAATCTAGGAAAGCACATTAATGCATCATATGTCAAACAAAAATCTACTACTAAAGAATTTTGCTTACTTCGTAATAGGCCAGGAATCCCATCGCTCTTGTATGTTCACCTGCTTCACCTCCACCAGCAGAAGGAGCATTCAAACTGTTTTGAGAAGGATCAGAAAGAGTGAAGGATTGCCCATACGTTGGCATTCCCAAAATAAGTTTTCTTCTGTCGGCTCCTTGTTCTATCCAGTAGTTCACACTATAGTTCTAGATGAAACAAACTGATAAACTAATCTTAAAATTTTCATTCTATCTTACCGTATTAAATGTAATATCTGCATCGTCTTCTGAGACGTACATAGGCGATACGTGGCCTGTAACTTTATCCCACTGTCCGTGATAATCATAGTTCATTATGCCAATCCAGTCTAAATACTTTGACAATTCAGGTACATCGTATGCTACATCGATGATTTGACTACTTGGAGATACTGCGGACGATAGTAAGAAATTTTTAGGTGAAAAGGCTTCTTTTAGTTCTCTGACAAATTCTGCAAACGCTGGCTTGTCGGACGCTGGTCCCAATCTACAGTCACCTTGCCAACATTTTGGATATTCCCAATCTAAATCTAAACCGTCGAAATTGTGTTCTTCAATGAATTGAACCACATTTTCAATAAACTTCTTTCTTGCTTCTGGATCGTTTACTAATCGTGAATATTTATCACCTTCTGAATCGTTCCAACCTCCAATAGCTATAAGAACTTTAATACCATTCTTCCTATACTTCGTTATTTTTCCGTAGAAATCTATAAAAAAAAACAATTCAACAAAAAAGGAAGAAAAAACATACATAAAAGCATTATGTAGGAGTAGAGATGTACGAAATATCGAAAACACTGAAATTTTGTGACTCACTTACCATTTTCTATATCTGTCCAAGTGTCGTGAATTTTAATTGTCATTTGCTGCTCATCCAAAATCGCAAATCCATAAACTAAATGAGTACAAAGGTTAGGATCAACATTTCCTGGAAGATATCTGCCCACTCCTGGACGATACCACGCCCAGTTAGTAAAGTAACATATTACTTTGTATTCAGAATTTGGTTCTGTTAAAGATGGAGTTGAAGTTGAGAGGGATACATCCGGTACTCCAGGACGTTTTGGAATTTCTTGAGTAAGTTCAGTAGTTTCTTTGTCCGAATCAGGAAGTTCAGGTTTCACATATTGGGGTACTTCAACAGCACCACTACCAGGTTTTGCTAAAACTCTCCTTATAATTGATAACAATGGATGCTTGCCTTCTCCACATCTGTTATTGAAATCATCCAAATCCAATGCCCAAATCATTCCACCACCAAGATCCATTTTTCTAATGTACTCTGATTTTATTCGAATCTGTTCTTGATCGTCGTAAGATACCCATTGATTTCCTTTATAAGCATAAGGTCCCATTCTCCTTTTTGGGTCTTGGACAACGGTCCAACCCTCCTTTTTGATTTTATTGCAAATTTCGTAGTAGGCCAAAAAGCCCGCAGCTCGTGTAAATTCTCCTGCTTGCCCGGGTCCTGGAGCTTTAGCATTAAGTCCGTGATTATCTGCTTTTTCTAATTGGAACGACTGACCATACAGTGGCATCCCCATAATTATTTTTCGACGTGGAGCACCTTGAGAAATCCAGTAGTTGATAGAGAAGTTCTATAAAAAAAGCAGTTTCTAACAAAACGCAAAAGTATTAATGGACTACCTACAGCATTGAAGAAAACATTTTCGTCTTCTGGATGAACATACAATGGAGCAACATGACCAGTCTGTTTGTCCCATTGTCCATGGAAATCGTATGTCATTACGGCAATCCAGTCAAGATATTTGGCCACAGTGGCAACATCATAACCCGCGTCTATGACTGTTTTACTGGGGGACACGGCTGCAGATAACAGTAAACTTTTAGGCTTGAATGCTTCCTTCAGTTCCTTTACGAAAGCCGCGAAGGCAGGTTTGTCGGAATCCGGTCCTTTTTTACAATCAACTTGCCAACACTTAGGATATTCCCAGTCCAAATCAAGTCCATCAAAGTTGTGTTTTTCCAAAAATTCAATTACATGTTGAATAAATCTAGCCCTTGCAGATGGATTATTAACCAAACGAGAATATTTATCGCCCAACGAATCATTCCATCCTCCGATTGCCAAAGTTACTTTTTTACCAGCTTTTTTGAATTCAACGACCCTTTCGTAAAAATCTAAAAATGATGTTTTTGGTAACAAATAATAAATATTTACATTGGAACTTACAATTATCAAAATCCGCCCATGAGTCGTGTGCTTTGATAACGAGTCGTTCCGTATCCAAAACGGCAAATCCGTAAACAATGTGAGTGCACAGGTCAGGATTTATATTTTCAGGAACATATTTACCTACACCTTGTCTGTACCAAGCCCAATTAGTAAAGTAGCATACTATTTTGAAATAACCCGACAGTGGTTCATAAGGTACCGCGGGAGGTTCTGCAGTGGTAGTTGTGAATGTGGGTTTTGTTGGTTTCCAGTCCCACTGATTAGCAGTTGTAGATTCCGGCTTCCATTCCCACGGTTTACGGGTAGTAGTTGAAGTGCTAGTAGTAGGCTTAGGTTTTGGTTTGCTAGTACTCGGTTTAACTGTCGGTCGACTAGTAGGATGCTCGTGGTTCACCTCGTTAATGTTGTCAATATCAGGGTTCTCTGACGATTCACTACATTTAGCGTTTTGGGGCCAATCGCAAACATTCTTCTCCTATTATTTATTAATCATGTAAATTCCAAACGAATAATACTCATATTTTGCCTTTTTTTTAACTTACTTTGTTCCAGTGAAGACCAGAGGAACACGCAAATAATTCGTACTTGCCCCATAAACAGTAAAGATATTTTTCGCAACTACCTTTCAACGCAGAGTATGAACCGGATGAGCAGCTGGACTGTATATTAGTTGCACTACCTGAAACATCTATTATTATTGACTGCACTACAGAAATATGCACATTTTCTAGCAACTTTTACCTGCAGGAACTTTTGTGTATCTATCTAATGCCTCGGAAGCAGCTCCTTCAATACATTTTGCTCTAAATCGCCAATCACATCTAGAATCTGCAGCGTTCCAATAAAGACCAGGACCGCATTTCTGAGTAAGAAGGAGTCCGTTAACGCAAACGTAAAAACTGTCACAGTGTTCATGGGGATAATATTGTCCTGTTTCGCATTTTTTAGGAGGCTTCGTCGATTGAGTTGACGGTTCCCACCAACTTGTTGTGGGCATTTTACTTGTTGTTCTTTGTGTTGTGGTACTGACAGATGGGGCTTGAGCTGATATTTCTATACAAATTTAAACGATGTTAATAAGCGTCAAATAATGTAACATCTTCGTTTAGTCTAATGAAAATTGCCCAATTGGTTAGTTTGTATAATTGATAATGATAAGTCAATCCTGTTTTATCGCTTTATTGGTTAGATTGGTTAGAACTAGTAACTACTTAAATCTAAAGAACAATTAATAAAAGATTTCAAAGACGGAACATGAACACATTGTAAAGGTGATAGATTGTCGTGCCTCAGGATTACCACGGTGTCAATCAGGATATTCCGGTTGCCTTGGTACCATCGATGACGAATCATTAATTCTTCCTTCGACCACTGCCTCCAAAAATGTTGTTTTAATTCCTGAACCTGTTGTTTTCAATTTAGTGTCAGACGATAACTGGCTCTTTGTTTTTTACTAATGAATTCTTTTTCAAAAAGTTTGGAACTGAACCATTTTTACTATGTAATTCATTGCATATCGTTTTTCCGTGGCTGTAATTTCCCCTCCAGCACGTTTATTAGAATTTTGACTAGAACGTAAGCAATACGCAACTATTGCCTTGAGTTTGATAAGGGAAGAAAATCTCAACACTTCATTTATATAACTTTTTATGAATTCGTTAGGTAATTGTCCTTTAGATAAAATATCCGCGAGATTCTCAGTTGATAGTACTTATCTTCACCTCTCTTGTTTTGTCAGTTCTTATATTATTGCAATACAATTTGTCACGAAAGTTTTTAATGTATTAGCTGTCCATTGTATCCAGTGTAAAGTAAAATTTAAGTCCACCCAAAGATGAATAACTCTGATAAGATATTAATGCAGACCAGAGATCTAGTGTTAGTAAAGAAATCACTTATGGTAGTCAACCCTTTATCCAAATGATAACTAGCCCAAGTTCCATTTAACCAATCAACTTTCGGTAGATTATAATCACCTAATAATAGCCAATTTACATTTGGATATGAAAAGTTTATTTCTTCCAAGCTGGAGCAATAGGAATTTATTATTTCCCTTGAGTTTGTCGATGAGAAATATAGTGAACTGACTACTATATTAATTTTACCAAGTTGAATTAAGGCAAAAACATGCTCAACATCACTTGATGCATTTAACTGTATACTACGTAATTTATTATTAACTGCAATAAGAACACCTCCCCCTTCATTGAGACTACTTGTCAAGGAAGTACGGTCTGTACGATAGATGTTAGAATTACCAAGTGATATCTCTAAATATCATAATCTTTTATAAAGAAGTTGTAATTTTATAAATCTTTCAGTTTCGTTTTTAAACCCCGAACATTTTGGTAATAGCACTTGAGTTTCTTGTTTCCTTTTTTGGATTTGGACGAGAAAGTGTTTTGACATCAACAATACGAGGGTCACCTCGAACATACTCGATTGCTTTAACAACGCCGGTTTTGTTCATAGTGTAGAGTTCTTTGGGTAAATCATCAAATTGTTTTCTTTGCAAAAAGGTTAAATTTGAGTTTAATTTGTGAAGAGCACTACATTTAGCTTTGTTTTTGAGAATATAAAACGCGGTGTTTTGATCGTCATTGACGACTTTAATCGCTCCGCTTTTGCCCTCCACTTTTTTACTAACCCGAAAATGACGAACAACCGTTTTCTCATCCGTTACACCGATTTCAGATATAATTTCAGCTATTTCAAACTCATTATGGTTTAAATCATTAACATTCTTTTTGTATAATTTCTATCATTAATTTCTTGAATAATCTTCACACTGTCAGACGAGGACGCACCATGTTGTTCATATGCTTGAAAGAGCGCTGAGAGTTCTGCCTCCATATTGCCATAGTCATCGCATAATAATTTTGCTAAAACGATCGTTGGACCTGCAAGTCCAACTAGATCAAATAGCTGGGCTAATTCCGATAGATTTTTGCCGAATGTTTAAAATCCGGCTCGAAGGACCAATTTGTTATGTACCGTCTTAGTTTAGACGGATCACGCGCTTAATTAAAGTTGCATAGCTAGTTAGTTTGTATAATTAAGAATGATTAGTCAATCTTGATTTATCGGTTTATTGGTTAGTTTGGCAAATTAACAAACTGGTAAATCGTACTGATTAGTTGGTTTGTTATTGAATTGGTTAGGTATTTTGTTATGAATCAAAAAAATGTAGTACATACTTAAAACCTAAACTATATACAAAAAGGTAAGTTACTACTATTGGTTAACGAAAGGAATTGGAAATGATAAATAATGGGAAAGGGTTTATTCTTGAGCTATATACATTAAATATAGTACAATACCCTAAACTAATTTGATTTATTACACTGCTCCTCCATAAAGCTATAATGTACTTAAATTTAAAAAACAGCCCATCCATAAAAAATTTTAAAAGCCCAGCATGCACACAGTTAAAAATTTCTCAAACGGTGAAAGAATTTGTCCATTATGCATTTAATTTATTAACCGGAATTCCTCATACCTTTGCATTTAGCAGCAGCAGGCCAATCACAAACTTTCTTGTTGTTATTCCAATGTAATCCTCCAGCACAAAACAGTTGACTAAATTCTCCTTGTATACATCTATAGTATGCGTTGCAATTGTAAGGATCTGATTTATATTGATTTGTATAACACTTTTCTGGCTTGTGGTCGCCTGCAGCGGGAGTTGGTTTTGTTTGGTCTGATTAACAAAAGTGCTTTAGTATATTTAAGAACGCATTGTCTGTTTAATATCTACTTACTTGGTTTTTTAGTAGTAGTTTTAGTGGGGCGAGAACTGGACGGAACTCGCCATGGCGTTGTAGTTTTTGATGTTGTGGTGGTTTTTTTAGACGTTGATGGCTTCCACCATTCCGTGGATGTTGATTCGTCTGTGGATAATTCCCACCAAACATTTGTTGATTGCTTCGTCGTGGTCAGAGGATTTTTAGTTGTACTTGGTTTTTGAGAAGTATGGCTGTCGTGATCATGATGAGAATCCCAGGTGGAGCTTTCTGCACCTGTATTAATTTAAAATTAAAAAAATGTACGTATGGAAATAAGTTCAAAACTATCTTACTTGTATCGAAACCAGTTGTAGATTTTGGCGGTTCTGGTGTTAAGGGAGCGGCTGGTCTATTGCAGTTAGAAGTAACTTCCTCATCAGCCATTAAGCCCAATCCTCTGTGTAGAGCTTTTAATAGTGGAAAGCTTTCACGACAACATTTATTATTGAAGTCGTCTACATCCACCGTCCATGCAACTGCACCTCCGAAGCCATGTGAACGAATATAACGAGCCTAAAATGATTTTTCATAGTACTCTCAGTAGATAAGACATTTAAATCACAGAGTACCTTTTCTTTGACTGATTGAGGGTCTTCAAACGATACCCACTGCTTCTTGGAAAATGCACAGGGTCCTAATCCTTCTACTCTTCTGAGTGTCCACCGTTTATTCTTAATTTTATCGCAAACTTCATAGTATGCAAGCATTCCGGGTTGATTCGTGTACTCACCAGGCTCTCCAGGACCAGAATCTGCTGCTTCATTTTCAGAAGTTGTTTCGCCGTCCACTAAAGTATACGTATGACCGTAAAACGGTATTGAAACTAAGAGCTTTTCACGTGGAGCTCCTTTTGATACCAAATAATTCATTGTGTAGTTCTACAATTTATGGATAGTAAAAGCAAATGTCTTTTACTTTTTTATTTATTTGTCTTATACTTACTGTGTTATACTGAGGATACCTGTCGTTATTTTTTGCGTACAATGGGCTGACATAACCGGTAACATTCTCCCAACTTCCATGGTAATCATAAGTCATAACTGACATAAAGTCCAATGCAGATGATAAAGCCGGTATGTCGTAAGCGTCGTCGATTACTTCTTTGTAACCTGATATTGACGCAGCCAAAACTAGAGGAGGATCTTGCTCATCAAACTCGTCCTTTAATTCCTATAAGAATGATATGTTGTATATACAACTTAAGTTTTGTTCCTATAATAATAATTATTATTGTAAAACCTTAATAAGTTTGACGAAGTTTGATTTATCCGAATCAGGACCTCTTCTGCAGTTACTTTGCCAGCAAACAGGATAATTCCAATCAAAGTGTAATCCATTAAAACCATGCCTTTTTAAATATACGATCACATTAGTGATAAACTTATGTCTGTTACCTTCCCTTCTAACGAGTCTGGAATATTTATTTCCTGCAGAGTCAATCCAGCCTCCAATACCAAGGAGGGAAGTGACTCCCCGAATAGACGTTACTCTTCTATACAAATCTAAATAAAATTTGGTTTAGCAATCTCACATTATTTCGTAGCACTGTCTGTACTTACTGTTATCTAAATCGGCATTAGAATCAAATTCGGTGATGGTCAAATTTTTTGAATCTAATATTGCGAAAGCGTAAACTACGTGAGTACAAAGTTTAGGGTCGATATTTTCGGGAACAAATTTTCCATCCGATTTTCTATAGAAAGACCAACTTGTAATATAGCAAACCACCTATTTATAAAACGATACGTTAGTTTTTATTCTAGCATTTGACATATTCTATTACCTTTGGTCTAACAGATTCAGACGCTCTGAGTCTAGTGTCCACTTCAGAGGGTTTCGAACTTGGAAAAAAAACCTGTTGGCCAGGTCTGCAGTTTATCGGATCGACAGAATCGCAACTTCCAGTTTTTACATTGAAAAGCATATCGTTTGAACAAGATTTCTGATAAGCCACGCCATCACGACACTCAAAATACTGAGCACAATCTTTTATATTAGAAAATACACCGTTATTGGTACATTTTTGGAAAGGTTTACTGATTACTCCGCCATAAATTGAAGGAGAATCATTTTCTGTCGTGGTTAGAGGATTTTTAGTTGAACTTGGTTTTTGAGAAGTATGGCTGTCGGGATCATGATGAGAATCCCAGGTGGAGCTTTCTGCACCTGTATTAATTTAAAATTAAAAAAAAAGTACGTATGTAAATAAGTTCAAAACTATCTTACTTGTATCGAAACCAGTTGTAGATTTTGGTGGTTCTGGTGTTAAGGGAGCGGCTGGTCTATTGCAGTTAGAAGTAACTTCCTCATCAGCCATTANCAAACATTCTTCTCCTATTATTTATTAATCATGTAAATTCCAAACGAATAATACTCATATTTTGCCTTTTTTTTAACTTACTTTGTTCCAGTGAAGACCAGAGGAACACGCAAATAATTCGTACTTGCCCCATAAACAGTAAAGATATTTTTCGCAACTACCTTTCAACGCAGAGTATGAACCGGATGAGCAGCTGGACTGTATATTAGTTGCACTACCTGAAACATCTATTATTATTGACTGCACTACAGAAATATGCACATTTTCTAGCAACTTTTACCTGCAGGAACTTTTGTGTATCTATCTAATGCCTCGGAAGCAGCTCCTTCAATACATTTTGCTCTAAATCGCCAATCACATCTAGAATCTGCAGCGTTCCAATAAAGACCAGGACCGCATTTCTGAGTAAGAAGGAGTCCGTTAACGCAAACGTAAAAACTGTCACAGTGTTCATGGGGATAATATTGTCCTGTTTCGCATTTTTTAGGAGGCTTCGTCGATTGAGTTGACGGTTCCCACCAACTTGTTGTGGGCATTTTACTTGTTGTTCTTTGTGTTGTGGTACTGACAGATGGGGCTTGAGCTGATATTTCTATACAAATTTAAACGATGTTAATAAGCGTCAAATAATGTAACATCTTCGTTTAGTCTAATGAAAATTGCCCAATTGGTTAGTTTGTATAATTGATAATGATAAGTCAATCCTGTTTTATCGCTTTATTGGTTAGATTGGTTAGAACTAGTAACTACTTAAATCTAAAGAACAATTAATAAAAGATTTCAAAGACGGAACATGAACACATTGTAAAGGTGATAGATTGTCGTGCCTCAGGATTACCACGGTGTCAATCAGGATATTCCGGTTGCCTTGGTACCATCGATGACGAATCATTAATTCTTCCTTCGACCACTGCCTCCAAAAATGTTGTTTTAATTCCTGAACCTGTTGTTTTCAATTTAGTGTCAGACGATAACTGGCTCTTTGTTTTTTACTAATGAATTCTTTTTCAAAAAGTTTGGAACTGAACCATTTTTACTATGTAATTCATTGCATATCGTTTTTCCGTGGCTGTAATTTCCCCTCCAGCACGTTTATTAGAATTTTGACTAGAACGTAAGCAATACGCAACTATTGCCTTGAGTTTGATAAGGGAAGAAAATCTCAACACTTCATTTATATAACTTTTTATGAATTCGTTAGGTAATTGTCCTTTAGATAAAATATCCGCGAGATTCTCAGTTGATAGTACTTATCTTCACCTCTCTTGTTTTGTCAGTTCTTATATTATTGCAATACAATTTGTCACGAAAGTTTTTAATGTATTAGCTGTCCATTGTATCCAGTGTAAAGTAAAATTTAAGTCCACCCAAAGATGAATAACTCTGATAAGATATTAATGCAGACCAGAGATCTAGTGTTAGTAAAGAAATCACTTATGGTAGTCAACCCTTTATCCAAATGATAACTAGCCCAAGTTCCATTTAACCAATCAACTTTCGGTAGATTATAATCACCTAATAATAGCCAATTTACATTTGGATATGAAAAGTTTATTTCTTCCAAGCTGGAGCAATAGGAATTTATTATTTCCCTTGAGTTTGTCGATGAGAAATATAGTGAACTGACTACTATATTAATTTTACCAAGTTGAATTAAGGCAAAAACATGCTCAACATCACTTGATGCATTTAACTGTATACTACGTAATTTATTATTAACTGCAATAAGAACACCTCCCCCTTCATTGAGACTACTTGTCAAGGAAGTACGGTCTGTACGATAGATGTTAGAATTACCAAGTGATATCTCTAAATATCATAATCTTTTATAAAGAAGTTGTAATTTTATAAATCTTTCAGTTTCGTTTTTAAACCCCGAACATTTTGGTAATAGCACTTGAGTTTCTTGTTTCCTTTTTTGGATTTGGACGAGAAAGTGTTTTGACATCAACAATACGAGGGTCACCTCGAACATACTCGATTGCTTTAACAACGCCGGTTTTGTTCATAGTGTAGAGTTCTTTGGGTAAATCATCAAATTGTTTTCTTTGCAAAAAGGTTAAATTTGAGTTTAATTTGTGAAGAGCACTACATTTAGCTTTGTTTTTGAGAATATAAAACGCGGTGTTTTGATCGTCATTGACGACTTTAATCGCTCCGCTTTTGCCCTCCACTTTTTTACTAACCCGAAAATGACGAACAACCGTTTTCTCATCCGTTACACCGATTTCAGATATAATTTCAGCTATTTCAAACTCATTATGGTTTAAATCATTAACATTCTTTTTGTATAATTTCTATCATTAATTTCTTGAATAATCTTCACACTGTCAGACGAGGACGCACCATGTTGTTCATATGCTTGAAAGAGCGCTGAGAGTTCTGCCTCCATATTGCCATAGTCATCGCATAATAATTTTGCTAAAACGATCGTTGGACCTGCAAGTCCAACTAGATCAAATAGCTGGGCTAATTCCGATAGATTTTTGCCGAATGTTTAAAATCCGGCTCGAAGGACCAATTTGTTATGTACCGTCTTAGTTTAGACGGATCACGCGCTTAATTAAAGTTGCATAGCTAGTTAGTTTGTATAATTAAGAATGATTAGTCAATCTTGATTTATCGGTTTATTGGTTAGTTTGGCAAATTAACAAACTGGTAAATCGTACTGATTAGTTGGTTTGTTATTGAATTGGTTAGGTATTTTGTTATGAATCAAAAAAATGTAGTACATACTTAAAACCTAAACTATATACAAAAAGGTAAGTTACTACTATTGGTTAACGAAAGGAATTGGAAATGATAAATAATGGGAAAGGGTTTATTCTTGAGCTATATACATTAAATATAGTACAATACCCTAAACTAATTTGATTTATTACACTGCTCCTCCATAAAGCTATAATGTACTTAAATTTAAAAAACAGCCCATCCATAAAAAATTTTAAAAGCCCAGCATGCACACAGTTAAAAATTTCTCAAACGGTGAAAGAATTTGTCCATTATGCATTTAATTTATTAACCGGAATTCCTCATACCTTTGCATTTAGCAGCAGCAGGCCAATCACAAACTTTCTTGTTGTTATTCCAATGTAATCCTCCAGCACAAAACAGTTGACTAAATTCTCCTTGTATACATCTATAGTATGCGTTGCAATTGTAAGGATCTGATTTATATTGATTTGTATAACACTTTTCTGGCTTGTGGTCGCCTGCAGCGGGAGTTGGTTTTGTTTGGTCTGATTAACAAAAGTGCTTTAGTATATTTAAGAACGCATTGTCTGTTTAATATCTACTTACTTGGTTTTTTAGTAGTAGTTTTAGTGGGGCGAGAACTGGACGGAACTCGCCATGGCGTTGTAGTTTTTGATGTTGTGGTGGTTTTTTTAGACGTTGATGGCTTCCACCATTCCGTGGATGTTGATTCGTCTGTGGATAATTCCCACCAAACATTTGTTGATTGCTTCGTCGTGGTCAGAGGATTTTTAGTTGTACTTGGTTTTTGAGAAGTATGGCTGTCGTGATCATGATGAGAATCCCAGGTGGAGCTTTCTGCACCTGTATTAATTTAAAATTAAAAAAATGTACGTATGGAAATAAGTTCAAAACTATCTTACTTGTATCGAAACCAGTTGTAGATTTTGGCGGTTCTGGTGTTAAGGGAGCGGCTGGTCTATTGCAGTTAGAAGTAACTTCCTCATCAGCCATTAAGCCCAATCCTCTGTGTAGAGCTTTTAATAGTGGAAAGCTTTCACGACAACATTTATTATTGAAGTCGTCTACATCCACCGTCCATGCAACTGCACCTCCGAAGCCATGTGAACGAATATAACGAGCCTAAAATGATTTTTCATAGTACTCTCAGTAGATAAGACATTTAAATCACAGAGTACCTTTTCTTTGACTGATTGAGGGTCTTCAAACGATACCCACTGCTTCTTGGAAAATGCACAGGGTCCTAATCCTTCTACTCTTCTGAGTGTCCACCGTTTATTCTTAATTTTATCGCAAACTTCATAGTATGCAAGCATTCCGGGTTGATTCGTGTACTCACCAGGCTCTCCAGGACCAGAATCTGCTGCTTCATTTTCAGAAGTTGTTTCGCCGTCCACTAAAGTATACGTATGACCGTAAAACGGTATTGAAACTAAGAGCTTTTCACGTGGAGCTCCTTTTGATACCAAATAATTCATTGTGTAGTTCTACAATTTATGGATAGTAAAAGCAAATGTCTTTTACTTTTTTATTTATTTGTCTTATACTTACTGTGTTATACTGAGGATACCTGTCGTTATTTTTTGCGTACAATGGGCTGACATAACCGGTAACATTCTCCCAACTTCCATGGTAATCATAAGTCATAACTGACATAAAGTCCAATGCAGATGATAAAGCCGGTATGTCGTAAGCGTCGTCGATTACTTCTTTGTAACCTGATATTGACGCAGCCAAAACTAGAGGAGGATCTTGCTCATCAAACTCGTCCTTTAATTCCTATAAGAATGATATGTTGTATATACAACTTAAGTTTTGTTCCTATAATAATAATTATTATTGTAAAACCTTAATAAGTTTGACGAAGTTTGATTTATCCGAATCAGGACCTCTTCTGCAGTTACTTTGCCAGCAAACAGGATAATTCCAATCAAAGTGTAATCCATTAAAACCATGCCTTTTTAAATATACGATCACATTAGTGATAAACTTATGTCTGTTACCTTCCCTTCTAACGAGTCTGGAATATTTATTTCCTGCAGAGTCAATCCAGCCTCCAATACCAAGGAGGGAAGTGACTCCCCGAATAGACGTTACTCTTCTATACAAATCTAAATAAAATTTGGTTTAGCAATCTCACATTATTTCGTAGCACTGTCTGTACTTACTGTTATCTAAATCGGCATTAGAATCAAATTCGGTGATGGTCAAATTTTTTGAATCTAATATTGCGAAAGCGTAAACTACGTGAGTACAAAGTTTAGGGTCGATATTTTCGGGAACAAATTTTCCATCCGATTTTCTATAGAAAGACCAACTTGTAATATAGCAAACCACCTATTTATAAAACGATACGTTAGTTTATATTTTAGCATTTGACATATTCTATTACCTTTAGTTTATTAGATTCAGACGTTCTGGGTCTAGTGTACACTTCAGAGGATTTCGAACTTGGAAAAAAAACCTGTTGGCCAGGTCTGCAGTTTATCGGATCGACAGAATCGCAACTTCCAGTATTTACATTGAAAAGCATATCGTTTGAACAAGATTTCTGATAGGCCACGCCATCACGACACTCAAAATACTGAGCACAATTTTTTATATTAGAAAAAACACCGTCATTGGTACATTTTTGGAAAGGTTTACTAATTACTCCGCCATAAATTGAAGGAGAATCATTTTCTGTAGGAAAAACGTCGTTAGTTTTCGGCGAAACGTTAATTTACTTATTAATTTACTTATTACCTCTTAGAAGGTTGTTAATGGTGCTTAACAGAGGCCATTTTTCTCCACAGAGACCTTTATAATCATCCAAGTCTGCTGTCCATAATGATGCTCCTCCAAGATTCATTTCTCTGATATATAGTACCTGAAATCATCAGTGTAAATTAATCAGTTTCAAAGAATCTTAGCTTCAACTGACTTACTTTCTTTTCTATACTTTCTGAGTCATCATAACCTACCCACTGGTCTCCATCAACAATATATGGTGAACCAATGACATCTGTCTGCTTTTGTATTTCCCTTTGCTTAATTATATTGCAAATTTCAAAATAAGCAAGGAATCCAGGAGTTTCAGTATATTCTCCTTTACGTCCTACACCAGTAATTCTTGCACCTTCTTCACTTTCTCTGGGATTGCTGAGTGTATAGGATCTTCCAAAAAGTGGTATACCCATTACTAGTTTGGAACGGGGAAACCCATGATGGAGCCAATAATGAGCAGCATAATCCTATTATCAAAATTTTAAAAAAATTAATTAACTTTTCAGTAATTCCGCAGGAAGAAATGATTTGGATGTTGAACACTATTGAACACTTACGAAATTATAAAATTCGTCTTTTCCATTATCATGTGGCCGGGAGTTAAAAGGCGCATGATGATCTGCAGCAGGCTCCTTGTACCTTTGAAAGTCGTATGCTTCCACGTTTACAAATTCAACCGTTTTTGCAAGAACGTCTAAATTAAGACCAGCAAGCTGGTATCTTGAAGGTGGTGCACTAACCGCTATCAACCACCCTTGTGGATGGAAAATGTGGTACATTTCTTCCAACAAACGTCCGAAATGTTCTTTTTCATTATATTGTTCGTTTTCATTTTTATTTTCTGGAAATTGCCAGTGAAAATCGACTCCATCAAATTGATAATGGTAAAGAAAATTTGCCAAAGACCGAATAAAATCTTGTCGAAGTTTGGGACTTTCCATCATTGTTTCAAACAATGCTTCAGTATTACCATTTTTCTCACCAACAGCTATGAGTACTTTTAAATTCGGATTTTTCTTTTTCAACGCAACTGCTGATCTATATCCACCTAATCATAGATATAGTGTTACTAATTTTCAGTTAAGTAAATTAATATTTTTTCATACCTTGAACAGTATCATATTCTTTATTTCTTGGAATTACTTTGAAAGTTTTGGGATCGATAGTTGCTGAAACGTATACCACATGGGTACAAGCAAATGGATCAAGATCATTGGGACTGAAGCTAAAGGGTTCTCTTCGATATACAGCACTACTTTCAATGTAGCATACAATTTTCTTAGAAGTTCCTGAGGTACCCACTTCATCTACAATAATGTAAAACATCAAGTAATATACAAAAACTATAGATAATTTTATTTTACCTTGTGTAAGCGTATTTGTGACAAATGAATTTTGAAGACTGTACAGAGGAATCAATAACTGTTGATCTTTGTTATCCACTCTATATTCTGATGCCTGCTTTGTATCAGTTACTAATTTAGTGAAATAGCTGTAGGGAGAGTAGTGTGTGTACTCAGGTAATACAGCAATAGGAATTACTGGCTGAGGGAGTACCATTGCTGGGGTTAGAAAACTTTGAAGCAATCCATATTTCTTTTGAATTGAAAATTCATTTGAAATGTCCGAAGACGTATCTTTTACGTGCTCTTGTTTAACAGGTTTCTCTTGGACAAGATTATCAACTCTTTTTTCCACTGCATCTCGCAAAGGAAGTCGTCTAGTAAATTCTTTTCTAAAAGTTATATAAAAAAAAAAAGTACGAAATTTAGAAATTGTCATTTTTTGGGGATTTTTTTTCTTACACATCGGGAATTTTTTCGACAGAATTTCGAAGTGGCAAAAATTTGCTTCCAAGCCCTGATGAAGCGATGTAAGGACTTTTTGTATCGGCATTTTGTGGTGGACTTTCGATCGCATCTCTTACAAATGTTCGATTAGACCTTACAACTTTTTCGTTTGTTGGGATTAGGAGAGTAGTAACGAATATACCGCAAATCTGAGAAAAAAGTGTGTAGATAAGAAAATCTGAATCTTTCAATAAAGATTGCCATCATTAAACTGTATATTTCTATGAATATCTACAGACTAAAAACAGGTGAAAACACAATCAATGTGGAATGTAAATAAAAATAAAATTATGTCCAAGTTAAGTTCACTTAAGCGATTTATCTACGGTTAATTTTCAACTTATTTGGATGCAGTTGACATGTTTTCTGATTTTTAACGTGGGATCCAATTAAATGAAATCAGTAGCGGGAATATTAATTTCAAGTCCAGTAGCTTCTCGGTCAATTTTAATCTACTTAATTAAGTTAGATAAATCCTATGAAACTTTTACTTAATTGCTTCATTTGGACTAGTAAAGAAACATTAATTTAAAAATAAATACAAACATTCGTAGGTTCATCGAATTATTATTATTAAACGCATTGGAATTTACTGAAATGAGTTATTTACTATTCGTTAGACGTAAGATTGCGACTATAAATAAATCTATTGAGTAAGACCTTCGTCTGATCTATGTATAATAAAATTGTTTCGGTCGCATAAGTTCTAGACAGTAAAGGTTCATTACACATCAATATAAATGACCTTAAACTTGAGTAACTCGTAGACCGTTTTTCACACCTTCAAAACCATGAAATTTATATGGACGATTAAAACCAATAAGTGGTAGTATTCACTTCGTACAATAAAAAGATCATCCACTAATTGCTTAAACAGATTCAAATGAGTTCATAAAAAACTGTAGGTATATCAATAAAAAATAGCGGTTTTAAGGGGTTTACTGCATTTTGTTGAAAATAGTAGACTTTTACTTAATTTCCTTGAGTAAATGTAGACCTGCTAAATTTTATAGCTTTTTACGTATTTATTCTAATTTCACGAACTAAATGCATTACTTTGGTTTGAATTTTGTTAAAAGATTAATCAATATGACAATATATTTAAGTAGTTTTCTAATCAACATTGAGATAAGGTCAGAACTCAAATTAAAAATTTACGAGGAATGTAATTACAGTCAAATTTTCCTAACTCTAGCCTCGAGTTAGAGAAAATTTTAGTTAGGAAGAGTTTTTGTTGTTATTATTGTTGTTACCCCTACAATCTAGACCACGATGTCAGACATTATAAGCATGTCGTTCATGTTGTCTTTTGCTACAGCAACCTTATAATACCATATTAAGTACAGTGAAAATTTAATAGTAATAATATAATAGCTCGGTCCATTGATTATTTATCACTGCGGCTGATAGTAATTCGAATAATTTGTAATGTAAAACCGACACTCGAATCTCGAGTTAGAGAAAAATTCGAATTAGAGAAAAGCAGAAATTCGAGTCGAACAGTTTGGAATAAATATAGAACAATTAAGAGAAAACAAAAACATTTTCGATTAAGAAAAGATTGCAAGTTATAAAAGTTCAAGTCACAGAAGTTCGACGGTAGTCATCAGATTTAAATGCAATACCATCTTATCTTTTCAATAGGCATTTTTTTTTAATCTAATTGTAAGTACAATAATAATGATAATATAAGATATAGTCATACTTGAACATAATTACTATAAACTACTGGTTTTTGNATATGAAAAGTTTATTTCTTCCAAGCTGGAGCAATAGGAATTTATTATTTCCCTTGAGTTTGTCGATGAGAAATATAGTGAACTGACTACTATATTAATTTTACCAAGTTGAATTAAGGCAAAAACATGCTCAACATCACTTGATGCATTTAACTGTATACTACGTAATTTATTATTAACTGCAATAAGAACACCTCCCCCTTCATTGAGACTACTTGTCAAGGAAGTACGGTCTGTACGATAGATGTTAGAATTACCAAGTGATATCTCTAAATATCATAATCTTTTATAAAGAAGTTGTAATTTTATAAATCTTTCAGTTTCGTTTTTAAACCCCGAACATTTTGGTAATAGCACTTGAGTTTCTTGTTTCCTTTTTTGGATTTGGACGAGAAAGTGTTTTGACATCAACAATACGAGGGTCACCTCGAACATACTCGATTGCTTTAACAACGCCGGTTTTGTTCATAGTGTAGAGTTCTTTGGGTAAATCATCAAATTGTTTTCTTTGCAAAAAGGTTAAATTTGAGTTTAATTTGTGAAGAGCACTACATTTAGCTTTGTTTTTGAGAATATAAAACGCGGTGTTTTGATCGTCATTGACGACTTTAATCGCTCCGCTTTTGCCCTCCACTTTTTTACTAACCCGAAAATGACGAACAACCGTTTTCTCATCCGTTACACCGATTTCAGATATAATTTCAGCTATTTCAAACTCATTATGGTTTAAATCATTAACATTCTTTTTGTATAATTTCTATCATTAATTTCTTGAATAATCTTCACACTGTCAGACGAGGACGCACCATGTTGTTCATATGCTTGAAAGAGCGCTGAGAGTTCTGCCTCCATATTGCCATAGTCATCGCATAATAATTTTGCTAAAACGATCGTTGGACCTGCAAGTCCAACTAGATCAAATAGCTGGGCTAATTCCGATAGATTTTTGCCGAATGTTTAAAATCCGGCTCGAAGGACCAATTTGTTATGTACCGTCTTAGTTTAGACGGATCACGCGCTTAATTAAAGTTGCATAGCTAGTTAGTTTGTATAATTAAGAATGATTAGTCAATCTTGATTTATCGGTTTATTGGTTAGTTTGGCAAATTAACAAACTGGTAAATCGTACTGATTAGTTGGTTTGTTATTGAATTGGTTAGGTATTTTGTTATGAATCAAAAAAATGTAGTACATACTTAAAACCTAAACTATATACAAAAAGGTAAGTTACTACTATTGGTTAACGAAAGGAATTGGAAATGATAAATAATGGGAAAGGGTTTATTCTTGAGCTATATACATTAAATATAGTACAATACCCTAAACTAATTTGATTTATTACACTGCTCCTCCATAAAGCTATAATGTACTTAAATTTAAAAAACAGCCCATCCATAAAAAATTTTAAAAGCCCAGCATGCACACAGTTAAAAATTTCTCAAACGGTGAAAGAATTTGTCCATTATGCATTTAATTTATTAACCGGAATTCCTCATACCTTTGCATTTAGCAGCAGCAGGCCAATCACAAACTTTCTTGTTGTTATTCCAATGTAATCCTCCAGCACAAAACAGTTGACTAAATTCTCCTTGTATACATCTATAGTATGCGTTGCAATTGTAAGGATCTGATTTATATTGATTTGTATAACACTTTTCTGGCTTGTGGTCGCCTGCAGCGGGAGTTGGTTTTGTTTGGTCTGATTAACAAAAGTGCTTTAGTATATTTAAGAACGCATTGTCTGTTTAATATCTACTTACTTGGTTTTTTAGTAGTAGTTTTAGTGGGGCGAGAACTGGACGGAACTCGCCATGGCGTTGTAGTTTTTGATGTTGTGGTGGTTTTTTTAGACGTTGATGGCTTCCACCATTCCGTGGATGTTGATTCGTCTGTGGATAATTCCCACCAAACATTTGTTGATTGCTTCGTCGTGGTCAGAGGATTTTTAGTTGTACTTGGTTTTTGAGAAGTATGGCTGTCGTGATCATGATGAGAATCCCAGGTGGAGCTTTCTGCACCTGTATTAATTTAAAATTAAAAAAATGTACGTATGGAAATAAGTTCAAAACTATCTTACTTGTATCGAAACCAGTTGTAGATTTTGGCGGTTCTGGTGTTAAGGGAGCGGCTGGTCTATTGCAGTTAGAAGTAACTTCCTCATCAGCCATTAAGCCCAATCCTCTGTGTAGAGCTTTTAATAGTGGAAAGCTTTCACGACAACATTTATTATTGAAGTCGTCTAGATCCACCGTCCATGCAACTGCACCTCCGAAGCCATGTGAACGAATATAACGAGCCTAAAATGATTTTTCATAGTACTCTCAGTAGATAAGACATTTAAATCACAGAGTACCTTTTCTTTGACTGATTGAGGGTCTTCAAACGATACCCACTGCTTCTTGGAAAATGCACAGGGTCCTAATCCTTCTACTCTTCTGAGTGTCCACCGTTTATTCTTAATTTTATCGCAAACTTCATAGTATGCAAGCATTCCGGGTTGATTCGTGTACTCACCAGGCTCTCCAGGACCAGAATCTGCTGCTTCATTTTCAGAAGTTGTTTCGCCGTCCACTAAAGTATACGTATGACCGTAAAACGGTATTGAAACTAATAGCTTTTCACGTGGAGCTCCTTTTGATACCAAATAATTCATTGTGTAGTTCTACAATTTATGGATAGTAAAAGCAAATGTCTTTTACTTTTTTATTTATTTGTCTTATACTTACTGTGTTATACTGAGGATACCTGTCGTTATTTTTTGCGTACAATGGGCTGACATAACCGGTAACATTCTCCCAACTTCCATGGTAATCATAAGTCATAACTGACATAAAGTCCAATGCAGATGATAAAGCCGGTATGTCGTAAGCGTCGTCGATTACTTCTTTGTAACCTGATATTGACGCAGCCAAAACTAGAGGAGGATCTTGCTCATCAAACTCGTCCTTTAATTCCTATAAGAATGATATGTTGTATATACAACTTAAGTTTTGTTCCTATAATAATAATTATTATTGTAAAACCTTAATAAGTTTGACGAAGTTTGATTTATCCGAATCAGGACCTCTTCTGCAGTTACTTTGCCAGCAAACAGGATAATTCCAATCAAAGTGTAATCCATTAAAACCATGCCTTTTTAAATATACGATCACATTAGTGATAAACTTATGTCTGTTACCTTCCCTTCTAACGAGTCTGGAATATTTATTTCCTGCAGAGTCAATCCAGCCTCCAATACCAAGGAGGGAAGTGACTCCCCGAATAGACGTTACTCTTCTATACAAATCTAAATAAAATTTGGTTTAGCAATCTCACATTATTTCGTAGCACTGTCTGTACTTACTGTTATCTAAATCGGCATTAGAATCAAATTCGGTGATGGTCAAATTTTTTGAATCTAATATTGCGAAAGC